CTCCCTGTGAAGACAGGCAGAGAGAGCTGGGGTTGTTCAGCCTGGAGAAGAAAAGGCTCCAAGGAGACAGAGCACCTTCCAACACCTAAAGAGACCTCCAACAAGAAAGCTAGAGGGCAACTTTTGACAAGGGCATGTAGTAATAGGACAAGGGACAATGGATTTGAACTGAAAGAGGGCAGGTTTAGACTTGTACTCCTACCTACAGTATTAATGAGACTGGTTTGGAATTGTTGTATAAAAGTAGGGGGCTCCTCTTCGGAAAAGAGTAGAAAATATCTTCTAAAATCCCTCCAGCTCTAGAAACCTTGTCTTGGAGGGAAGAATTAAGAACTAAATGCACTATTCTGTTAACCAGGAAAAGGGCAAAAAGGTGACTTGACAATAGGTGATAAGAAACTGAAGGGAAAAGGTATTTCTGAGGTTAGATTCATTTCTGTGGAATGGCAAAATACATGATAATGCCACTGCTTCCAAAATGGTTTTAGCAAAGAGCAATGAATTAAGGGATCATTTAGCTTGGTAGCTTGTGTTATTTCTGTCTTCGAGTGTTTTAAAATAAGACTAGCAATTTTAATTTTTCTTTCAAAAAACCGCTCAAACAGAGTTGATTGGCCAAATACAGGAACAATTTGTTGAAAAGCTCTGGAATTCCAGTTTGGGGGAGTATAATAGTTCCTTTAACCTCTAAAATAAATTCAGTATATATTTTAACCCCTCTACTATTCTCAGACCTGGCCCCCACTCACAGTAAAATCAAGGAAAGGCCCATAAAGTCAGTGAAAAGTGGACTGGACTTTAACATTTTTCAAGGGTACAGGATGCTGCCTGTTAATGATCTGTAGATCTGTGGTTCGATTCTGTAATAAGTGTTCAAGAAAATCTTGCAAACAGTTGGAAAAATAAATATAACTGACATTTCTCTCAAATTGTCATGGAATGCACTCCAGCTGTATTTATTATACACATTTTCTCCATGTGCTATGTGCTTGCATTCTTTTGTGATGAACGATGTTGCCGTGTGTTGGAGTTTTCATGCTATCTTTCTTTGAATCAGGAATGTGTAGGAGGTTATTTAAGGACAAAATACTGTAGGATCTTTTGTCATTGTTTTTGAACTTGTAACATGGAGCTGAGCAATGGATACATGCCTTGATTTAGGAGAGTTCAATGGAAGCAGAACACAGCCTGTTAATGTTACCAGTGGCCCCACGCCTTGCTGTCCATTTTGCTGTGTCTACAAGAACTCCATCTGTTGTTGTCTGATTCTTCATTTGAAGTCTTTGGATATAAATTTTACCTTTCTGATAAGGTAAATTGTGGGCCTAGGCCATTCCTAGTGCTCCTAGACACCACGGCAGCAGTAAATAAAGCATTACCATGAATCACTGCAGCTCCATCAAAATTAATAAACTTGGCTGCCACCCAAGTCTGTGGAAGCATGTCACCCTAGGGAGGCCTCTGACTCCGTCAGGGAGCATACAAGAAAGCAAGCTGATCTTCTGGTATGCAGCAAATGTAAAGATCCAATTTCAAAAAGGGAAAGAAATGATGCAACATGTAATGCCATAAAAGCCATATGCCATCGCACAGGATATTACTCATATGGCACAGATCTTCAGAGTGACATTCACTTTGATTGTTATTTTACCCTTATATTGTGACTACATGGTAGAGTTATAGGAAAAGTGATAAAGGTAAACAGCATTTAGCTTAAGTTTAATGAGAAAGTTTCCAAGAAATACAGGTTCATTTGTGGGGAAACTTTTCTGTTTCTGATTTCTCCTGTGATTGCAGCTTTCTCTTAAAAATGTTGAATTTTGAAATTCGTTCCATATTTTTTCTTCCAATGGAAACAAAAAATGAACTAGCATCCCAAATCTCCTTTTCCTAGATGATCCTCTCCCTTAGATGTGTGCTGTTACCACTTGGCCAGCATCACTTTCTGATTTTCTTTGACCTCTCTCTCTTGCATTCCTGGCTGCACAGTGGCTTACTTGGAGATTGTTTCCTTCTTTGAACCCAGTGAAAGGCAGTGGTTAGGAAACTTTCCTGGGATGTGAATGCAATGGCTTCAGCTCTTTGAGAAAAGTCCAGCTCTCCCACTACTGGTCAAGTGCTCTAATCACTGAGCTACTATGAAGAATCTGCACTTTTCCTGTTTTCTGTAATGAAGTCAGAGTCAACATTTCCTTCTTCTCCTCCCACGATCTCAGTGTTGAGGGTAAATATTCTGAGAAGGCATACTGGATCAACTCCCTTAGGGATGTGTGTAGAATTTAAGGGCCTGTCTGCCTAAATCTAGATTGCAACAGAGCAGAAGATGAGGTGCCTGGACCAATCCCCAGACTGGAAGGACACGGTGTTGTGCTCACAACTATTGCAGTCACTGCAAGAACTTGCAGGATGGTCACGATATGCTGACAGATGGAGACATGATTTGACTCCAGTAGAATTCCAGCACTAGAAAACTTTTAAGCCATGTCTATAACTTTAACTACATCACTCAGCAAAGTGCTGTAGAGTACCCAAATAAGCTCTGTGAGAATACATTTCAGTGTAGTGGACGTTGATGGCAAGTAGACCTGGAAGGTGACTGTGCAGTCAGGGTGACTTTGCTGATGCAGTAGAAGTAACATCATCAGAGAAACTATATGCTCAGTTTCTGAGGGGCTGCCTACCTTCACAGTGCTCTGTCCAGTCAGTAGGACAAAGACTGACATAACTAGAGGAGGGATGTTAACGAAGCAGAGAAGAGATGAGCTGGTGCTCAAATTATAACTTTTTTAATTATTTGGATTATAATTAGCACGTATGGCCATTTCTGAGTGCTCTTACCAATAAGTTTGAAACACATGCTCATATACATCTGGGATGGTTTAAAACAGACAGAGAACTTCCAGAGATACCTGGGAAGGCAAGATTTAGGCAGTTGCAAACTCAGCCTTTTCTATGGAGAAGAATGTAGGTGTATTAGCATGGCACTGGTCTCTGCCAGACTCTTCTTGGGATAATGATTCAAAGCCCTTGGCTGTTTCCAGGGAAAAAGAAAATAAGAATGTTTTCTACAAAAACACATTCTTTGCTCTGTACCTAGATATGATGTAGGATCCAATGTCGACTGGAGCATGAGTCATGTACTCCACATGCCTTATAGCACTTTGTAAGTGGGCAGTGAAGTGTTGGTTCATGAGTCATCAGCTGCATATGAGTGGGCAGTCAAATCCTGCATAAGCTGATTTTTCAGAGACATTTCTAATGGCCAAACATATGGGTAAATTATTTTTGTTTTGTTTGTGCTTGTTGCAGCTTCAGCTTTGGCTGAGACCTCATGTTGTTAGACCTGACATATCCTATGAGTTTTATTTTCTGTCATTCCAGCTTTGACACGCTTGTCTACAGAAGTTTCATCATCTGTTTCTCTGTAAGGAGTTTCCATTTTCTTTGCACTACATCTGAAACAAGGATATGAATGGAAATAGCAAACAAGATAAATAAACTGTACTATTGCTTTTGCTGTTAGGGCTGCTTTGGCACCAAACTGTGGTTCTGTTGAATCTTAAATCCAAAATATGTATTTACCCCTTCACTGGTTCTCCTTTTAGTGTCATTTAATGACATAAAATAGCTGTCATCTTCTACCCTGCTGCTTCAAAACTTCACCTAGCACTTCATACAGCTACAGAAATCCTGCCACTTCGTTTGAGACAGGGGTCCTGCTGCAGCCAAAATACTCTCAACTGAGTTTCACAGGAGCCATGCCCTACTTGTACTCTTTACTGTCAGGGCCACATATGGGTCAGACACTCCCTCTGCTTTATACGGAACCTGAGAAAGATGGTACTTTGCTTTCTTCCATTTTTTCTCTGGACCCTTGGCATGTGGTTCACGAGGAGCACAAAAAATGTCAATTTTCCGAGTCATAAGAGAAAGACAGCCAGCTCAAGCTGGACTGGATGAGACTTCTCACTGCTGGTGCTTGGACTTGACATCTCCCAGAAAACCAGCCTTGCTCTGCTGCCAGCTGTCATTGCTGCCGCTATCTCAAGGAGCAGCATGTGCACCACAATGCCTGGTTTAAAGTGGAGCTCCCCTGTGACTCACCAGGGTGTTGTGTTTGAAAGCTGCTAGTAACAAGCAATTTTTTTAAAGCTTTTTCTTAATATAAAAATCAGTATCTGGCACAACTTTCCCTCAAAAAAAAACAAACCACCCCAAACCCAAACTAAACATGAAGACAACCACTAAGTGCAGACTGATTGCGACGTGTATCAGTCTGAACTCAGGACACTGTCAGTGTGGAGGTGCCCATAGCTGCTTTTTCCTAGCTGCGGCTCGATTGCACACCCGTTGTGCCTGCACACAGGAGCCGGCCACTTCCAGTGTGCTCCAGGGACACCTGATGGAGCAGGATCAGACTCCCGTCTCTTCCCAGCTTTAGAGGGCCTCATGTACTGACCGAACAGTAGTTTCTTGGACAATCTCTTTGTTTTACCAGAACTGCAGAGCAGTTGCATGCACGGCTGCTTCCCCGCTCCCTCCTGTTTTCTGTATCACATTTCAGCCGGGGCGGGGATGTCGGGGGGGTTGAGGCAAGGGGGGTCCCCACGGACAGGATTCTCGGTGGGGAAAACCCGCTTTCCAAGGTTGGGGGGGATGCGAGGATGCGGCCACACCGTTCCTTGGCAGGACAGGCTGTCCCTTCGGGGGTGGCCCCCTCCGAGCCCCCTCTTCCCGCCCGGCTGCGCTGCGGTGCCGGGGCAGCGCCGCGCCCGCGGGGGGCCCGGGGCGGACAAAGGGGCTGCACGGCCGGGCCGGGGCCGGGGGGCTGGAGGGAGGCGCGGCGGGGCCGGAGCACAACGCCCCGGCGGCCGGAAGACAGGGCGGGGGGTGAGGGGTGGGGAGAGGGGAGGGCGGCCCGGCCCGGCTGAAAAGGAGGGATCGCCCGCCTGCCCGGCGCCCCCCCAGCCCTCGGTGCTGCCCCACGGGCGTCCCGCACCATGGCGCTGTCCTGGAGGAGCTGGCTGGCCAACGAGGGGAGCAAGCACCTCTTTCTGGTAAGGGCGGCCCCGAGGGGGTCCCCTCAGAGGGGCTGCCCCGCGGAGGAGGCTCAGGAGGGGCCGCGGGGGAGCTGCAGGCGGCGGGGCCGACCCAGGTTGCAACTGGCTCGGCGGGCACCGCGGGTCCGGGGCTGCAGGAGGTGCTGCCGTGCCCGCCGTGAGGCACGGCTGGGGCAGGGCGCCTGCGGGATGCCGGTGCTCGGGCGGGCGGTGAGACGTGCTCCGTGCTTGTCCCGGTGCGCTGCTGGCAGGGATGCACGCGGGTGCCACGGCCCGGGACAGCGCCGGAGTCCGTGACCGGCTGGGATCGGCACACGTTGTGTTTGTTCGCTCTTTGTTAGGCTCTCTTTGGGAAAGTTTGAGGGAGAGGATGCAGCTTCTTGGAGGTCAAGTTCTTCCTTCCTTTGTCTCTTTGTTGCTGGTTTTTATTCCTTAAGTATTTTAGCTGCAATATCCAGCTGAAGATTTGGGGGGCCCTCGCCAGCTCTCGGTTGTCTTAAGGCACAAAGTTTTGTGAAGTTCGAGGAAAGTGAGAATTTCACACAGAGAGGCTATTCCTTTTAATATTTTAAAGTATCTTTATACTAAGTGCTTGAAGCTTGTTTTCCCAATCCATTTACATGTATTTATGAAACTACAGACTTATGAGTTTTATGAATGAAATTAACACGGAAGTTCGCATATGTAACTTTCACTTACAATCTCTTGTTTCTGTTTCTTTTCAGCTTTTCTGGCTCTCTCTCAATGTATGGCTCTTCTGGAAAACCTTCCTGCTCTATTATCAAGGGCTACAGTATTATTATTTGTATCAGATGTTAGGGGTGAGTGACCCGGACATTACTTTTTGCCCTGAAAATTGGGATGCTGGGAGATGGGAAAGGGGCAGAATGCATTTGCTAATAAGGATGACACAAACTGTCTGTTAACTCTTCAAAGTGGGAAAAGATCAAGTAAGAAGTTACTGGGATACTTCTGACAGTTGTTTAGGAGTAGAAAGTGAACACTGTTGAGAAGAAAAAGAACCAGTCAAGTGTGGGACAGCTATTCTTCCCCCTCTTCTCCTCCTTCCTGGTGTTCCCAGCTGCAGACAGGCTCACAGGAACACAAACATGCCAACAGATGAACCCAAAAAGAGAACTTGGAGAAATTGGATACTGGTCTCTCTTGGGAAGTTATCCACAGCTACACCATTTCAATTGTTTGAAAAACATTTCTATCCAAAGGGATAGACTTAGGGTTAGAAGTTTTCTGAAAAATGCTCAAAAGTTTCTCAGAATTTGAGAGTCCAAGAAAAAGTGACTGCATAACACAATGTTTTGTAACACTATGTCATACTCAGGAATGGATTTCAATGGAAAGTTGACATGGGATTAAAGCACAGATGATGTGCATTCTAATCTGCTGCAGAGTCTCTGGGTTTTATTTTTAGTAGATCCAGGTTATATATTTTCACATGGTTGATATCGTTGTCATAGCTATCCAGTTCCATAAGGTTTTGTGATCTTGCTTGAAAGTAAGTTGACTTGATAAAATTCTCTTTTTTTTCTTTTTTTTCTTTCTCCTTATGGTTGATTCAGATGCATTAAAAAAATGAATCTTAGAAAAAGTAGTGCAAAAAAGAAGGGAATGAAAATACTTAAATCCTTCACAGTGATGGCTTTCTTGTCAGAAAAAACGTGAGAATGTGTTTAATTTTACCTTAATCTCTAATGGCTTTGCAGCCCAGTGTATCCATTTGAAACTGTGTTTATTCCTGGCAGAGCAAGTGGGTTGTTTGTAAAGCAAATCTTCTTGGGTAACATGTTGGGACAGATTGTCAGCTGGTATCAATCAGCAAGTTTTTCTCAATTCAGATGACTTGACTGCCTTGTACCAGCTCATGGTCTGCTCTTTTGTTTGTTTGTTTATTTTCTTATACTTCAAAATGAAAGACACATACAAAGTAATTTAATCTGTGTTCAGAACCTTTGAGATGATTCAGGCAACAGATTCCTTGTTTTGGTCAGGAGATGAGGGCCAGGAGGTTATGCTTTTGAGTTTGTCTAACTGTGTCTGCAACTGTGGGAAAAAGAACCACAGAAATTTGGAGGCATTCTAAAATGAGGTGGAAAGGGAAGAGCTTTGGTCAAAATTCTGAAACTAATTTTAAAATTTTGAAAATATTAAAGACTGTAAAATGTTCTTGCAATTCACTTTTGACAGTTTGTCTAAATATCATCAGTAGACCCTGAAGTTATCTTTCTCCCTTCTCTTCAGTGTATTTGTATGTGTGTATTAATCATACAGATTATTTTGCAGGGGTTGGGACAACTGAACTCAATTTAATTTCTTAGGAAATGGCATATGCATATCTATACTACAGCTTCTATTACCTTCCAGAGTGATTTTTGCCCCTTTTCTTCTTCTCTGTTGGTTTGTGTAGCCACTGGCCCATGGCCCATCTGCTTAACCAGTCTTCTCTCCGTTCTGTATACGTGTGAGTGTTTTGCCTCTGTGCCATTTCTTGATGTCTGAAAATTTTGAGATTTAGATTAAAGTCTTCATTTATAATTCAACAGCTGATATTTCTTTTCTTAACAGAACGAACTCTTTTTTAGATACTTTCATGACAAGTGAGTCCTTTTTCCAGCCAGTAAACAAAAAATGCCAAAAAGATGTGGCGATTTTTGAATAAAAAAAAGTTGCTCTTGTTTTTCAGTGAGGTCGGCTAAGGAATTTTTTTCCTCTTACTTTGTATGCTACAATAGCCTAAAATTTCCTTAGGATCCTTTGCACTTGCAGCACTGAAAGATTTACCACAGGTAGCTTCGTTTACCAAGTAACAGAATGTAGAACAAGAAGAGTTGCTGTAGGAAATCAGATTGTGATATGAAATGAGACATTGGACTGAATATCCTGAATATATTCAACTCTGACATGTTTTCATGCCATATCTTTCTGATGTGAAGAAGGAGAAAGAATGAGGTTAGTCTTTCATTCAATGGTCACCGGAGCGATTTACTTCGCCTGTCTGCAGAAGAACGAGGCTCAGTTTTATTCTTTTCCAATTGTATTCTCTGCGATGTTGAACAAAATACTTATCACAGGATTTTAAAATTGTTTAGGTGCCTAACTCGCATTCAGTCCTTCAACGACAATTGTTCTGATCCTTAATTCTATACCTGTAAAAAGGCACTAGAAGCATGGTGGTGTCCTGTAAGTGCAAAGTGAACAATTAAGTCAAAGGCGCTAATGTGCTAGAAGGAAGTTAGTCAGACTATTATGTACTACAAAACTTAGTGCGTAAATTTGTTGTGTCAAATATCTCTGCTTTGCTCAGTTTGAGTCCTGTTGATGAGACCATCGACTCTTCATTTTAAAATCTCCATACCTGGATGTTTTTAAAACCCAATTGAGCAAAAAACCCTGAGCAAACTTAATCTGAGTTTGGTGTTGAACATACTTAGAGCAGGAGGTTTGAATAGAGACATCCCAAGGTCCCTTCCAGCCAGAATAATTCTGTGATTATATAATGCTTGCAGTGAAAGTTCATCAGAACCTAGTGGATGTAAACCCCTTTCTGATACTTTTGCTTTGATGAACTATCCCTTTGGATACTGAATTGCTTTTAATGCTTCTGGCCATAGTCTTACTGTATTAATGCATTCATTGCCACTGGTTCAGGAACATTATTGAGATAAAGAATCTCAATGTTTTATAATTTGATAAATATTAACTTGTGGTCTTCTATTGCTTAAAGAAGAGAAGTCTTTGAAGAAACACCCAACAGACATAGATTTCTTATAAAAGAGTGTGGCAAAGAGGAAAGGAATATTCTCGTCTTCATGTTCATGACAGATACTACAACATGTAGTCGGCAGGAGTTACAAGAAAGGGAGAGTTGTAAATGACTTGACATGACTCCAAAATCTTCATTGTTGGAGGCTGTGTGTCTGCTCAGTCAGAGAGATTGTCCAGAAGGTTAATTTATTTACAGACTTGAGGATTTCTCCCTTCAGATTAGCTCGGCTTGCACCTGACCAAAAACTTCAGTCCTAAATTTGGTACTGGCCTTATAGAACTCGAGTCTTGCTTTTAACAGCATTGAATAAAATGACTTTTCCTTGTTGCTTGTGTTCCCCATGAACAGGAAGAGCTTTGGGCTCACTTTGTAATGGCACAAAAGGTCTCTCTTTCCCTATTCCCTCTCCTGTCCCTGCTCAAATAACTGTAATGTTGTCAAATGTTAATGCAAGAGATAACCTTCTGGGTTTCAGACCAAAGTGAAGAAAATACGTTGTCGGAAGGATCTCTTTGAGAAAAGATTGAATAACTGAAAATGGGATTGAAAAGGAAAAGTGGTGCCTCACTTTTTTTTTCTGTATGGTTGCTGCCTTCTTACTGTGCAGTATTGTACATAGCATTTGTCATCTTTATTCACTTCTTGGAATATATTCCAGATGTTCCAGTAATGTTTCATGTCTTTCCTTGCTAGTTTATCGTGACAATAGAGATTTTCTTAATTGAGGCCAAATTCTGTTTTCATTGATCGTTATGCAACCTCACTGCAGCCTGCTTACCCTCCACATTTAAGCATTGGAGAGAGTTGTATATCTTGATTCCTTATTTTCCCCAATGCAGTGTGCTTTTGTGATTTAGTTTTCTTTTAATCAGGCTATTTAGAGTGTTACATGTAGCAAAAATGTCTAATAATAGATTTGTGTTGCTATGGAAGCTATATATATAGATATATATACATATACAGAGTTCCCTTGTGAAGACTGAGGGTGTTACAAGACTTTATCTTGATAGTCCCCTTGAATGTGCAAGTAAATCTCTTCCTGTATTCTCTTTGCCTCATTGTAGATTTTTTTTGTTTTCCAAAACATTTTTCCTTCAACCCTTCGTCCTCCACAGCCCACATTTCAGCATCATTGCTGGGATTTGTTCTCAACTGTAACCAGGGATGAACTTGGGTTTTGCACCATATCTCTTCTGTTTGCTTGCTTTTTTATTTTTTTTTTTAAGTTCAAATGACAATTACCCAGTGAAGGTCACATATATTATTAAGTTTTATGGGAAAACTTTTGCGTTTGCAGCACTTCTTCTGAAAACTGTCAATAGTGCAGGTTGCATTAGTAGAGGTATATCTCAAATGATTAACTGAAATTTTTACTACTGTATCATCTAGACATGTTAAAAATAGTCTTGTTTTCATCATTGCTCCTCATTCTAAGATGATCATGGCATCACACTCTTTGTAGAACAGAGATGAATTATGGTCAAAATGTTTCTTTGCTTGATTGTTCATTATGTTATGTATTACTGTAGATTTTCCATGCTAGTCTAACAACGGTAGGTCTTGAAATAAAATACCTGCATTACACTCCAGAAGACTGGTTTCACAGATGATATTACCTACTGTGTTATGATAAGGGAAAATAATTAAACATAAAGGAAACCCTTAGTAGCAGACATTGCATCACTTTGGTGTGACTATGACTCAGATAGGACAGGAAGCAACTTTCTGCTCTGTCCGTGACTTGCAGCGTGTGAATCTCTTGGAGGTACTTAGGTCCCCTTAATCCCTTGTTTCATGGCCAAATTTGTGAAGTTTAGGTAATGCTGCATCTAGCAGGATCAATGCCTAAGCTCTTGTTACTAATTATATATAAAACACTGTCACGCTTTGTGGTGTTGCTATAGGAGAAGGACAAATTGTGAAGATAGCTTGAGAACCCTTCCAGTCTTTGTGCCTCATTCTACCTGGCACAAAAAAACCCCCTGTAACTCAGCAACACTGACGACTATTTTTTTAAATTGTCAATCCTGAGGTGAGGAT